AATTATTAAAAACGTCAATAATTAAAGTCATAGAACTCAACTTGGGCTACAATTCTTTATAAGATAGTTGGTATCTATGATAAATATTCATCGAAATCGAAGGGCTTTACGATAAATCATTTACTTGAATATTTTTGGTTAATTTAATTTAAATCAAAATTTCTGTACAAGTATGCATCCAATTCTAACAAACGAGGTATCATATGATAGCCCTTAATTAGGGAATTCGATTAAAAAAAAGTTTATATGATTTTGATTATCCATTGTGTTACAATTCGCTTTTGAATTTTATACATAAATTTAGTAAGGATCTTGAGATAAACGATTGCCGATCACTTTGTTCCGATATAATATTTTTAAAAAGTTGCCGCATAGATAAACTTTATTTTTACTAATAAACCATTATATATGATATTAAGTAAGATTAAAGAGAAATATATTGTACGTCTGTTGTAAAATTTTTAGACCTATAGCATAGAAATTGAGAAAATAATTAACAAATATGTTCAAATATTTAAACGTAAATTGGTCCTTTAATTCTTAAGATATTAGTCTAAAAATTTTACAGCAGATATACAACATTTTTCTCTTTATGTTTACTTAATACCGTATATAATATTTTATTAGTAAAAAAATAAAGTTTAAATATGACTACGATTATCAATTCTTTGTTAATATAAAGTCTGATTTTATTAATTTCGATCGTTTTTTAGTCGCGTCTAAGTAAAGTCTTTATTTTTACTAGAAAACCTCAAATATAGTATTAATAAAAATTGTAGCCCTTATTAAGTGCTGCAAGTTTGTATAAGATACTTGGTACTTACGATAAATAATTATTGAGATCGAAAGATTTTACGATGTGTATTTCATTTTAACATTTTTGATTAATTTTATTTAAAACAAAATATCTTCACAAGCAAGTATCCAATTTTAAAGAATAAGATGTCATATGATAGCCCTTGATCAGGGGATTCTTTTAAAAAAAAGTTTATGCAATTTTAATCATTACTTGTGCTATAATTCATCCTTAAAATTTTTTAAAAATTTGACAAAAAAATTGTTGCCCGGATACTTTTGGCAGGTTGGTGTATAAGAATTACTAATCTCAAGATAAAATAATCACAATACAAGGGTTTATATGTAGAAGGAATTAAGTACGATCAATTATGAAAGAGGTGTATTGACTATTAACAGTGGTATAAAGACTTGTTAATAGGAGCAAACAGTTTATCAATTATTAAAAGAATACAACAAACAAGGAACTCAGAGGATTTTGTAATATTAACTTTATTACTTAATAAATCCTAACTAATTAACTAAAAGACTGGCAAAAGAACTTCAAAACTGAACTGAAGACTGAGTTAAAGAAATTCTTAGCCTTTATATACATTATAATTTTAACTACTAAGTTGACTTGTAATCTGACTGTAAACTTCACTAGTAACTATGCTAATATCCTAACTTGTACCTTAACTGTTAATTTAACTTGTACTTTGACTGAGATATTAACTCGTACTCTGGCTTGTACTCTAATTTTGTGTACTTTTTTTTTTTTTTTTTTTTAATTCCAACGGAGTCATGTTTTATTAAACAATTTATTTTGCAGTTGATAAAAATTAAACAAATTTATAAGAACTACAAATACATTTAATACAACTGGCTATGGCTAAATTAATAACACAACGGCCCGACCCATCGTTGCCCTAGTGTTACCTAAAACAACTGATGGTCATGTCCCCGCCCATCTCTTTTTGACCAATCTGAGCAAAAAGTTGCTGGAAAGGAATACTAACCCATCGAGGAGCTATAGATTAGGGAACTGTACACTAACATCTGTACAGAAAAAATTTAAATAGAAGATCAATAGTAGATAAATATCCGTATCCACTAATATTAATATTAAAACTAATTTTTTGAGCAAGAAATTACATGAAACCCTATACACCTCCCCAATTAGTTTTTGGATAATGTCTGTCTTGGTTTCCAGACTGTATACGGTCCAAACGTCCACTTATACCATGGACTCTAGTTCCTAACCCTTTTACTGTATTAGCCAGATCAGCTAATCCTTTAGACATATTGTCTAATGTTTTTAATACATTTGGGTTGTTTGTTTCTTCTCTCGTTTCTATTTCTTTTCCTTTTCTATCTTTATTATTATTTTCTTTTATCACTTGATCATGTTCATCAAGACGATTTTCAATTGCAGAGAGTCTTTTTGCTATATCTGTCAAAACTTTAGCTACTTCTTCCATTCCCCCACGCAACTCTTCAATTTGTGCGGTATACAAATCCATTGTTTCTATTACATTTTGATTAAATTCATCAAATTCTTCGTGTTGTTCTTCAATTTTATTCTTATTAATATCCTTTTCAACATTATTAGCTTTCTTCTTAACTATATCTGCGTAAGTATTTTGGTTTGGAGTAGTTTTTATTAGATTGGAATAATAATTTGGTTTATATTTTTTATACAAATTACCAAATTGTTTGATTTTTTCCTTCTTATTAAAAACTAACTGTTTACGATATTTATTTACATTACATTCTTTTGCTTTATGTAAATCTGAACTACAAATGAAACAAAGAGGTGTTATCATAGGAACCATCCTAATTGTGATTTCCTCCGTTAATTTCATTGTACTGTGCTGGTGTTTCTGCATTTCTTCTTCTGTATCAAACGAAATAATCGCATAATTTTTTCTTTTATATCCTTCTCTAGTTCTTGGAATATAAATTGTACGACCTTTAATATCTTTAACAATTTGTTTGATATCCAATGCTGTCATTCCTCTAGGTAATTGGGTTAACTTTGCTGCCCATTTACCTCTATTATTTAATTCTTCATAACTAGTATCACCTGATGTAATTCTTAAACAATCCATTCCGATCCAAATCGACCATTCTGTTGATAATTTTTCTGCGACCTCCACATTTTCAAATTCCACGTGACCTAATTGCCACATGTCTTTTGTTGTTAAATGTAATTGTTTCACTTTCCCAAAATGATTAAGATGTAACATTAAATCATTTCTCTTTACATATAAAGGAATATCCCAAATTTTCCATTTGCACAATTTATCATATTCATTAGGTAACTGTTCCACCACGTCTTGCATATAAATGTGATTTTCAGTATTTCCTAGATTTACTTTTTTTGCTTTTTGTACTTCTTCTTCATTCAAAAGATATATTACTATATTTTTAATTTTATTGGTTGTTTCAATTTTTCCAAGAATCACTTCAATTTGATTTTGAAAAAGGAGATTTTTAACCATGAGAATTTTCGCAAAAGGTGATTTTCCCTTAATTTTTTCCGCTTCAACAGAAACTTTAAAAAGTTTTATACCAGTTTCTTTACGCCAGATTTTAGGAGAGATATTTTTAGGTTTCTCTACAAATACTTTTTTAACTCTATCATTTTTATTCTTTTTATTCTTTACTGTTACAAATTCTTCCTCAATATATAAGTCATCATCCTCTACACCGTCTGTAATTTCTTTGTATTTTGGTTCTGCCACAAATGAAACACTTGACCCTGGTTTAACAACATTACTAATATTTATTTCTGTTTCTTCTTCAAATGACTCTCTAACAGCTCTTTTTTTACTTGCGTGCACTGGTACCAAAGGTACCTTTATTTCTTCTTCTATATTCATAGTTGTATTATTTTCATTTTGTATGTTGCTAGCCGTAGGAATAAAATTCATATTTTCCTCATTTTCTTGATTGTTGTTATCATCTTGTTGACCAGAAACACTTCTGGTATTGTATTTATGTTTTTTCTTATCCATATGAGTAAAAAAGATAGAAAAATAATTAAGTTTTATATGTAACTACAGTGAAAAATTGTATTTTTCTACTGTAGAAATACTTGGTACAAGTAATCGACGGGAAGAGTTTTTTTTATTTAATTTTAAAATTAATTTTATATAGTTTTAAAAATTTATTATAATAATTTTAAGATATTTTATATAATTATAAAATTAGTTTTGATTAATTTTATATTTATTTTTTCATTAATAAATAAAATATTCAATATAAAATTAATATAATCTTAATTAGTAATTTTGAAATGTGATAAATAAACTCACTAGTAATGATTATCACCACTGGGCAAAATTAAATTTATGTTTACAAAGTTAGGATAAATTGATCAGAAAATTATATAATTTTGTCTAGTGGTGACAATTACTATCAGTAAGACTTTAAAATTTAATATTTAAACCAAAAATAATTGGTTCAGTTCAGTTTAAACCAGTTCAGTTTCAAATTGAATATTTATGTCCCTGTTTTAAACTGAAACTGTACTGGAAGTTTTGGTTCAGTTTCAGTTTTACTGTCAAACTGAACTAAACTAAATTGTTGAGAGCTTTAGTTAATTATTTGATTTCTTCTTGCTAAGTTACAACAGTACTATCATTTGTGTTATTTAGCGTATTTGATTTATGAATTAATTCATTGTGATGTTAGCTTAGGGTTAGACTGCTCTAGCTAGTTCTTGAGAAGGAGAGTATAATGGAATTTTTCAGATTTTCTTGTTTCATAGGACATACTGTCACTATGTGTCCCAATTGTTTACAGAAATAGTAGTGAAATGGGTCATTGGTATTACTATTGTGATTTCATGTATTCTGTTCCTTAATGTCATTGTTATAATTCAGTCTTTTATAAGATATATGTGTCAGTCTTTCATTCCTTTAGGTGATTCTTTGTAATTTTTTGATGATTAACGCAAGTACCTTCTGCACAATATGATCTATTATATTTTTTCCATTACTATTCTGACTATGATTTAGTATAAACTCTCAAGGGTTCATATAGGCAATAGTGTCATATCCAACTGTAGTTTCAGGATATGTTTATATATTTTCTTCGAATTGTTTCACAATTCTAATTGCTACTTCTAATGAGGATTTTCTTGAGATAAGATAAGGGGTTGTGCTTGATAAGTAATATCCTTTCGTAATTCTTTTAGGAACTGCCAGACCTTTTTATTCTTGTCCCATCTATTTTCACTGTCAATGCGCTTGATTAGTTTCTTGACATCATTAGCATATTGTTCTACTGTTTCACTTACTTTCTGTATCATCATCGATAGTTCGAATCTCCATTGGTTTATTAATACAGTGGTTTTAAAAGTGGTTAAAAATGAGAATTCGAATGATATATAATTTCTGTCACTTCAATGTGTAATGGAGTTTTGTCTATCTTGTGTCTTGCTGAACTATAGTTCCACTGTACTTTGTAAGTATCCAGCAACTACTTGGAGTTTGTACTTACTATTGTACTAGTTTATTCTAGTAGATTTGTTGAATTCTTCTAACCACTCCATTGAGTTTTAGTTTTTTCTGTCAAACAATAGTATTTTTGTATCATTCCTAATACAAAAGCATCTTGTAATCCTTTTATCAAAGTGTTGGTTTCACTTTTCTTGATGCTACAACTCATTCCTCTAGTTATTTTTCTATTTGTCAAGGTTATTATTGTCTCGTAAGAATTTGTGTGAGAGAAATTTTTATATCTTATTTTGTTACACCAGTGCCAAGACAATTGTCTTCATTATTGATCTTTTAATTTATAAAGATTTTATTATACTAATGACAGTTTTGCATTCAGTATTTCTCAAAAATCTCATTTAGAACAAAATTCTATCACTTTTGAAAATATTCCATATTATTTTGTTTTCTTTTAGTAGGGATAATCTTTTGAATTTTAAAAAAGGGATATAATAAACAATATAAAATCTAACTGTATTTTTCTAATTCTTGTAAATCTGTGAAACATTACTTCTCTAAGAGGGATATTTTATACCAAATCTCACAAGAGGCACCAAAATTCTGTGGCAGTCTGCTCAAAATAAGGAGTAGCTTTATTTCAATTAGTCCCATTAAATTGAATTTTCATTGCACCTCTTTTCATATCAACTCAACATATTCTTGTATGTAATATTTCGTAATGCTCACTATTCACTAGTAGGATCAAGCAGTTACTTGTCCACTTGCAACAAATAGATATATATAATAGACTCTAATACAGTATACACAGGTATGATCTGAAGGTATGTGAGTAAGTGAAGTAAAAGTATCTTTTACAGCTCACTATGCAAACTTTTGAATTTTAGCTTCAGACTTTATTCAGTAACTTTATTCAAGAAATTACAAAATTAGTAATAGAGGTATTATGGGCTGTTAACCATTTCTCACCAATACTACCATTGTCACAAAATAAAATATTTTAAAGATGTATTAATTTATTATAGAGTATGCTGAAATTATTAAACTTATTGCAAAGATATAACAACAAAAATATATCACTACTTTGGTGTATCTTATTCCTGCTGCTAAATTATTATAATATGTTTCTATCTTTATTATTAAATTTTATTATGAAAATATGTAACAAAAGATTATTATTATATTATTACAAATTAGGTGAAAGATTTTTATAATTGTTTGAAATGTGCCAAAAGAAATCAAAAATTATAAAAATTGCAAAATAAGTTGATCCTTTTTCACATCCTATATTACCAGTTATTTTATACATTTTCAAACTTGTTTTCTTTCATCCCTTTGTTGTTGTGTCTAAACATGTCTTTTCTATTTTTAAATATGACACACAAGGATGAAGGATAACGTACAAGGATGAAATACTTCATACAAAGATGAATAATCTATCATCTAGATGGTAACACACTCATCCTGTGACACTGTCATCTTACTGTCATCTCCTGTGACATCCACAACACTTCAAAATCCCATGCACATCCCATGTGAATTTGTGCATCCTCAATACAATCAAAATCAAATTCATAACTCTAAAGACAAAAAATTTAAAAAAATTCAATGAAGCAATAATTCAATATTGAAGATGTTTAAATTGTAAAAGATATAACTTTTTTTAGCCATGAGAAAGGGTGTAATCACCATTCTTATTAATTAATGGATGAAATATACAAATACCTTGCAATGGATTAGTGTGATGTAATGCATTAAAGAAATTTTCTACAACTTCTGTAACACTTTGCAAGTATGCTTTTAATGAAATTGAATGTATAAAGTATATTTGTTGTGTTTGTTACAAATGATTGGATGGACATATTCATGAATGTACAGTAGAGACCACCAATCAAATTGTATTTATAATGGATTACATAAACAAGATATTACAAAAGGTATAAAATGTATTGCAAATTGGCTTATTGAAATTTCTGATCCAGATTTTTAAAGACCTAGCAACACCTGAAATACATAAAGAAGGATGTGAAAAATTAATTACATGTTATAATAATGGCTTAGAGAGAATGCAAACAATTTATAAACAAGATGTGCTAAAAATAGAACCTTGAATTGCACAAGGAAGACATGCATTAGAAGTTCATAGAACGAAACACAAAGATTATGCAGATAAAAAAGATAAAAAAAAATCTGAAAGAATAATAAGGCAACAACAAAAAAATAATAAAATAAACAATGACCAATTAAAGAAAAGTAAAGTATTGAAAATTTGTTATGTTGTTTTTATTTAATCACGTCACTATACCTTTAAATTGATAATTAGGTACCAAAAAATGAAAAAAAAAAATACTTCCACAAGAAGAACCAATGCTGGAAAAATTGCATGGAACAAAAAAAAGATTATATAATTAGACGAATTATCATGTTAAACAAAATAATTAAAATTAATTATATTTACAATTAAATAAATAATGAAAATATTATTAACTTTTCACTTCCTTAGTATTACATTTAATTAAATTTTTTTGGTGGGTAAATAGAATTCATTAAAACTTTATTCCATATTCCCTTATTGTAAATGTAAATTATAAAATAAATTAAACTATTCGAGTCTTCGGTATAAAAAAAAAATTTCGTGATTTTTACAAAAGTCAGTGTCTAAATTGCTTTTTAAAATAAGTAAACTTAAAAAAAGGGTCGAAGAGAATATATCTGGGTGGTATTTTTAAATATTTAAGTATGTTTAATAGTTCAATCAGTGACATAAAAGTAAAAAAAAAGGACGAGGTTTCTTCAATAATATTTTTATTTTATTAATATTAGAAAATACTAAAATTTATAGAAAAATATAAATTAATATGTAAAGAATCCATGGTAACAATCTTGGAAGTTTTTTTTTAACGGGTAGCGATTTGGCTTATAATTTTCTAATAAAAAAAGGCTTGTGACATTTCCGATGATTGATAACTAAACTTATTTTGAGCAGGACACTGGAGAGAATGTTTCCATATCATTGATATTCCTTTAAATATTTTTTTCTTTAGTATTGAAACCTTAATTTTTGCAATTTTTTTTAATAATATTATCATCAATATCAAGTAAATAAATTGAAATAATTCACACCAAAATCCTATTACATCTGAAAATGAAAATAACAAAGAAACCTCTTGTTGCTGTTGATAAAAATACATCATCAGCTTTCCTTCTTTATTCCCCTTCATATAAAATTGCTAATTAAGATCTTTGATCATTAACGACATTCGCTACACTATTTTCAAGAACGATGAGGCATCATTTTTCTTCGGATGAAAATGAAATTAAAAGATGAGTTATAGATTCATTCTTAGTGCATAACTTTGAGCTAATGAATTATTCTATAAAATATAATAAATAAATATGATTGAATAACTCAAATTAATAATAAATATTACCAGTAAATATAATAAATAATCATTACCTGCATTGGTGCACCAATAACTAATGCAAGCTTTCTTACATGATTTAAAAGTGAAATATCCATCACCTTTAGATAATTTAATACAAGTTAATGTCAATTA